ATATATATATATATATATATATATATATATATATATATATATATATATATATATATATATATATATATATATATATATATATATATATATATATATATATATATATATACTATTTACAATCCTAATATTTGTTAGGAACGAGTTGACACTAAGGGGGAGATGAATTTGTGCACCGAAAAAATCATCGGTTTTGAAATTTCTTTGTACGATCAAAAACTGATTCCGACGAAAATAGTTTCGTAAAGATAAATTTAACTTGAAAGCATATGGAAGAGTGTGTTGAGAAGGTAAAGCAAGTAATGTAGTTTGCAATGTAAGTAAGAGCTTAAAGTAAATGCAAACCGAATTTTATAGTGGTTCGGTCGTCGTGACCTACATCCACTCCGTCGATTCCCTTTCCGTCGAGGCCACCGCCATCTACTAATGATCTTCCTTCAATGGGCAAAGATCAACTACCCTTATAACTCGATTATCATTTTAACAGGTTTAGGAGAGAATCTTTACACCCTCACTTACTCCTTCTAAAACAGAATTCTAAACACTTAGGCTAGAGAAGGAGAACTCCCAATATTACAACAGAATTTTGCCTTATTTGTGTACTCTGTATATATGTTAACTAAGGATGAGAGGGGTATTTATAGGCCTCAAGTTGATTCAAACTTGGAGCTTAAAAATGTATCATCCCAGGTTTCCTGGGTCTTAGCGGTACCACCGCCCAATCTAGTAGTACCACCGCCTAGGAGATTATGTCTGGATGGTACTATCGCCTAGACTGGCAGTACCACCGCCTGACAATCTCAGAGATTGAGTCTGGATAGTACCATCACCTAACAATCTCAGAGACTGAGTCTAGATGGTACCACCACCTGACATAGTCTCGAAGATTGTGCCACGACGGTTCCATATGTTGGGTCACTGTTTGGGCATTTTACTTAGCCCAACAGAGTCCATACATGGGCCCAACTGACCCCTAATTAGGTTGGCCCAATTCCAATCCCAATTATGTGCTAACTATAAATTCTAAGACATACACTAAGCAAATCCGATCCGGTTAGTCTTGGTTTCTTCCAACAAGCTTCCAACGATCTTCCGTCGAACTTTCGACGATCTCTTAGCAATGTTCCAACTGACACTTGGCAAGCTCCTGGACTTCACGACAATCTTCTTGGTGAGTTCCGACGAGCTTCTTCGGTAAGCTCATGGACTTCATGACGATCTTCTTAGCGAGTTCCGATAAGCTTCTTCGGCAAGCTCCTAGACTTCTCGGTCAATTCCGGTAGAACTTCCGACGAACTGTCACGGACAAACTTCTAACCAGGATGTTTGATGTAATGCTTATGTATGTCCGTGTCTTTTGGTATGCTCATGCTTTGCACAACATGTAGAGGGATGGCTGAAGGCTTAAGAGTCCCATTTTAGTTGGGTTTGGTGGCTACATTAGGCTTGTAAATAAAGGTTGTGTTATGTGGATATTTGTGAGAGATTTTTGGTCTGTAGTTGATCATTTTGACCCTTTGTTGTGCAACTATTCAGAGCTTGTAAAATTTGTTTGTAATTTGCATTGTCTATGAAGTGTTTTAGGAAATATTTGCTTGTGGATCCCGAGTGAGGTGTTTTCTCTAACCCGTTTTCTCTTTTGTAAGTCCTAAGGGACCATGGGAGGCTTCGGAGAGGCTGACCTTTGCGGACACGCAAGGGTGCCGCACGACTTTGGCAAAACCAGCTAAGTCCATGATAGATGGTATCAGAGCGGGACAAGCACTCATAGAAACACTTGACATGCAAATGTGGGGGACCTAGCGGGGCTGCGTTGAGGGCAGTCAGCACACGCGCGACCGTTTGGGGGAAAAACAAGCATTGAGATGTAGGGGAAAGGAGTCGCTCAAAGGAACGGGCATCTGTGAGTGGCATTCAGAGGAATGGCCAACCCTTCGCATAAGAGGCACCATGAGGATAAGCAAGCTAGGAAGAATGTGGAGCACACAAAGGTTGGGATGGCTGAGTTTGAGCTATAGCTTAACGTTGACAACTATACTTGATAGTGCTCAAGGCAAATGAAGTGCTTGGTAAAGGATGAGACCATGCAAGATGGAATGAGTTGCTCAGCGACCAAAAGAGTTGTGAAAAGCTCACAGAGGTGAGGGGAATTGCTAACTCGAAGAATTCGGTACTCATGTATAGGCTTGTATATGAATGATGGAATGTTCGTGGCCATCCCAAGGCGACTGAAACTTGGCGCCATGAAGCAATGAAACTTTCTCTTCGGCATGTGAAGGATACGTTCGTAGGAGGCTGAAGTATGCAGCGAGTTTAGCATGTTGCTAGGCCTTGAGTGGTGCAGTGGGGGTTATATTAACATGGAGTCTCAATCTAGCAAGTGCGTTTGTAGGAGGCGGAACAATGCACAGTTTGTTCAGCAAATCGGAGTAGTCCGAAGGGGATGGTGGTCTCCAAAACGAAGAGAGATGTTGCTCCAACGGGATAGATATCTAGGAGGGATAAGTCCCGGCTCTCCAAGAGGGAGAATTATGTGCAATAGACCGCACATGTTGAGGAGGAGTACCTCAATAAACAATAACCCCACGAAGCTCAATGGACCGAGCAAGCGGCAAGGAGTTGTCGCATGATCTCGCTTGAGAGAATTCATTAGTGGATGCATTATGAGATCAAGTGGGGGAGCAACTCAAAGCAACACAAATGAAGACACACTTGTAGTTGATATGGATATCAGACTCAAGAGAGGGCTGACCCGTGGAATGGTGGGGGCGAGGGCCACCATCAACTCAATGCAAAAATGAGGAGCGGAGCAACTTGGGTGTAACTTGGCGAAGTACCCAAGCCGCATGAAGGGAGCCAGCATAGAAGATAGAACATGGAGCAGAGGCATAATGCTTTCCTTGGATAGAGATCAAGGACATGAACTCTTGCAGAGGCAAGAGTAAGATCATGTTGTTCCATGGGTCCTTTATTTTGATGGAGCAGACTCATCTTGCATAGTGCCAAAGATGAAGGGAGCTTCAGGGCATATGCACCTTATCTCGGTGAAGCATTTGATTGAAGAACTAAGGCGACTTAACTTGCGGAGGCGAAGTTGGGTTCAGAAGGCCTTGGCACGGGGCAAGAGGACGTAGAGGCGGGTACTCTTGAAGAATATGTCACAGTGTTGCCAGTCAAGTTGCTAGGCAGGAAGCGATGCGCAGCGGAGATTGTGCTGGTAGGGGCAAAGGCCCAGGATCCAGACAATGATGCACCATTTTCAACAAAGTCAGTGAACTTCGGGAGCTACTAGGTGATGGACTGTCCTAGAGTGGTGCTTCATCTAAGTGTGACCCAAGAGTGGGTGGATGAAGGTCGATTGCCAAAGAAGCGAACAAAATCGAAGGTGGAAGAAACCCTATGATGTATTGGCAGAGGCCACACATGGAGGGATTACAATTCGAGTTCATCCCACAAGGATCAGAATGCAATAGAGATGTCACCAGGAGGCGACATGGTGCAGCGGATCGTAGTGGAATAGTTCGTGGTAATGCGATACACACGACATAGTCCCATGAGGGACTAAATTATACGGAGGTATGATTGGGAGCTACTGGAAGCTCCACTTCGGTGAACAACACGATGGCAAGAAGGGCTATGGATTCAAGGAGTGAAGGCCATGGTACCGTAAGGGTGGATCTTTCGTGTGTGCATCGAATTTTGAATCAGATGAAAGCCTTGGTCATCAACATATGGGGGCTATGTTCCACCAAGGTAAAAGTTCGAATGCAAGTACCAGTGAGTCCCATGGGAGGGACTTGATCATGCAGAGGAATGATCGAAGCAGCTGGAGAGTTGGACTGCTCCAGAGCCCATATTCACTTAAGGGAGCCCGGCAAATCAGAGGACAATGTCGAGTAAGCGAACATTGTTGCCAAGGAAGCTAAGGGGAATAGAATTGGTGCAAACCTAGAGGCCATGCATGGGAGTTGTAGTCTATCTTTCCATCGACCAAAAGGAGCTGCATGGAGAACACAGAGGTGTTGAAGGGGTCGAAAGGGGCGAAGAAGCGATGACGAGTCCAGAGGGACTTAGCTACCCAAAATCAAACATCAGTTAGAATGGAGGTGGACTCGGAGGAGTGTCAAAGAGACATATCTACTGATCGTGAAGAAAATGAATGCAGATGCGAGGCGACGGATAGTAGGGCCATAGGCATGACAGCGCCATGGTACCACAGAGGCGGGACTTCCGTGAAAGTCATTGATCCCTCGCTCTTATTGAGGGAGAGCGCTTGGTTGCGAAAGGGGCCGAGGAGGTGGAGCATGCAGAGGCAAACTCCAAGTACCGAGACAAGGCTGAAGGGTAGAGGCCAAGGAACTTTGTAAGACCGGTGTTAACAAGCTTCTCATCAAGATAGCCAAAAGTGAAGGACTTCGGGTCATGCAAGAGTGCACAACCAAGGCACGAAGCAGGTAGTACGCGGTGCTGTACCTTTGCTACTCAGTGGAGTAGGCGATCGGGTTAATGGAGAAGACGGTACAATCCCAAAGGCGACCAAATCTATTAGATAATTACTCCAAGTTGGGATGAAAACTTCCTGCATTCCAGAAGTTCGATAGCATTGAGAAGGTGAATTACAGTAACTAACTCAACGCAAGGAGTACAA